TTACATAGTAAAAGTTGTTCAAAACAATTAACATTCCCCACCCCACGAAGTCCTGGCACATAATAATATTACACACATATATACTCTTTGATAGATACCTGTATCATAAAAAAATACATCAAAGAGTAAAGTAATACTCGTTGTATATAGAAAATCCTCCTTTTGGATTTTGAATGAATAAAGATACGCAATCATTTGTTTTTAGTTAAAATAAACATAATCATCGCAAAGCGTACATTGTATTGTCATAAAAGGAAAACTACTCATTCCATTCCAGTCTATTAAGCTGCTGAATAAAAAGAAATGAAAATCGGTCAATATTTGGCGGAAAATATTGCTGAACATACATACAAAAGATACGTCGACTAAAAATACGAAAAGAAATCATTTACAATATAGAATCGATGGATATTTTTTTGCTTCCGTAGGAACTGGAAATTTACAAAACTGCGGATTTGCGAACAGAAACTTTTAGTGTAAAAAACTTTTGAATCAATCCAGTACTGCGAATTTTGGTTACAACAAACTCGTGGAAATACTTTTTTTTAATAAAAAAAAGTCTATTAATTATTCAATGGAGATGCTAGTGCCTAAATTCTCTGTGGGAGTGCTGACTTTCAGTCTTCAGCTGGAGTACCGTTGAACTTGATTCACTTTGATTTGGTCTGCATCAGAATGCGTTCAAGGTTCAATTCTATATTGTTAGATAAAGATAAAGTGTACACTACGCTTAAAACAGTTTTAAAATATTGAATGCATTTTGCCAACCATATCGATATTTTCCAGACCTGTACCAGAATATTTTTTACCATATTTTAATAGAATCCTTGCACTAATCAGGTAAGCCTAATAATAAATAAGAAATCATTACAATCCTCGAATCCCAAAATTTAGTAACTTAAGTACTATTTGAAACATTGAAGTTTTGGTACAACATACCAGGTGGATCCAAGACAATATATGAAAGTTAATTTTCTATTGACGCAACAGAGAATCGAACCCGGGAGAGATGACTACACCCTGAAGCCGACGGACTAACAACTCATGCACGGAGATCGTCAGTATCAAATTTATTTATTGACCCTATTGATTAATTAACTTTACACAATTTTCTTTTTCACATAAAAAGATAATTATTGACGAAGTATTGAGGTAACATATACAAAAAAAAAACAAAAATCCCGACTGCGTAAAAACGAATTTAAAAAAAAATTTTTTTTATTCGTTTTTACGCAGACCGGCTTTTTGCTTTTCTTAATTTTTTTTTTTATTTTATGCTTTTTAGTTACGATTCGTTGACTTCGTTAAAAGAAGGTAAATTTCGTAATCTAGTCATTTCGTTGAGGGAGTTGATATTGTTTGTAAAACAATTTTAAATTGTTATATATCCTAAACTATTGCTTAAAATAAAAAATGATAAATGGAACCTAAAGATGATTTTAAAATACCTATTCAACGACACAGCACTTGACATAGTTCATAGCTTTTTTTTTCATTTCGACAATATGGCGTCTGGTTGTCGATGTGGTGAATTTTGATTACTGTCATGTGTTTAGTGACACTTGTAAGATTAAAACGAATCGATTGACTTAAGAATCATCAAAATCGGCATACACATTTGGTCTCTAGAACAAACATACATACATACATAGACTGATAAACACATTACCCTCCCTATCGTCGCGCAGTCGGGTAAAAATGAAAAATTGTATACTCAACAAACTAAGAAAATCCTTTATTACTGACTACCTAATCCGTATCCTGCTTTATTTACAAGCGGTTATTTATCTTTGTTTTTCAAATCAATCTGTATAAACTCACCTACAGCTACGACTGAAAGGAAACTCGATTTTACCCCCGTTACAGATAGAACCCTAATTGTGATAGACTGACGGACAGATGGATAGACGTATATCACAGATATTAGGGCAGGTTCACAATTGTAAAAATGTTATGGACCGCATTCTGTGACATTTATTTGTGGGCTATTAAAGTGCCGCTACTATGTGGCGGTGCACATGGCGCAGCTTACAAGGTTTAGTAAGCTTATAAAATTTTTATAACTCGGTCTAAACATTAAGCTCTTATTTAGTATCCATATAGCGCATGACGGGGAACCTTAATCCTAATTTTTATTTATTTATTAATCTTATAAAATCTCATATAAGAAAGAAGGTGGGCGTAAAAAGTAAAATATAGTTAATAAGCGTTCTTTATTATTTTTGATATTAAACTATGAAAGGTGAGCTACTAGCGTAGTAGTAGAAAATGCGATAGTCTAGTCTCTAGTATGGTAATTTAGTGAGCTTAGGCTTACGGCATTAATAATCCATTAAAATTAGATAGGTCAGATTCGGGTCATTTTTATTTTCAATGTAGTAATCTGATTTTCAGTGTTACTTTTTTTTTGGCATTTGTTTATCTAAAAAAGTTATATTATGGAAAATTATAGAATCTTTTGTAAATGAGGGGTTTATGCCAATCATACTATACCTAATAATTTATATTACAAATTACTATTATATCAGATATGGAATATCATTAGATACCATAGTTTTGATAACAAAATAATAATAGTGATAATGTATGAATTAATTAACTAAAGATTCAGTCGAGGGTTAACGTTCAAGTATTTATCCGATAAACATTGCTCCCGGTGGGATTAGATCTCGAAATAGTGAATTGCACAATTGATAGCCAAACAATCTTTTGATAGAGAATATTCATTAGACGTCTTCTTAATTGATTAACAGTGATACTATACCAACGAGGTCTCGGTGATTCACTGATAATACGATACCTTAAATCAATAGATCTGAGTGAAAATACCATCAACATATTACAGAAAGCCGCCATTCTGAATATGTGCCGCATAGTCAGATAGTTCATGCAGTGCGAAGAACATGAAAAAGATTTAAGAATTGAATACTGTAATAACTTGACAAGTGCTCGTTATTGAGAAATAACAGAAGAAGATTTTTTTTATTATTATTATTATTATTATTAGTCTGTGATTTCAATATAATATCATATCATGTCAAATGAAATTTTGATTTTGATCTAATTAAAGAAGTTAAGAATTAAACTACGATTTAATTATATGGTAAATGAATATTGTTTGTTTCATCGCCATTACATAATTTAGATCCCAAATTAAGATGTATTATGAACAAATAGGCCATCATCTTTCAGACCAGAGACAATATAGAAAAAATGTTTTCTAAACCGCCTGTTCTGTGTATACTGCCCTGATCGAGAATCAGCTCGATTGCGACACCATTTATGGATAAACGAGTTTTTGACAAAATCCTATTTCACTAATATATTGAATTTATTTTAAACTTTAAGCGATAAAAACAGTAGTTACAGACATTGGAAACTGTTATAGGTGGGCTAAATTTTATTCGAGTGAAGTACATACTTACCTTCGGATCAAATACAATATTGAAGCTAGAAGCGGTAAGAGTTCCCGAGATTCTATGCGTACGTTTTCGAGTGAAGGGAATAGTTTCATGCTGGGCACATCCGACGAAATCACTGTTGCATGGAAGCATGCCGGCATGGAATGGTGCCGTGACATGATTGCTAAATTCTTCTCGGCCTATTTACGACATTGTAACAGGTGATGAATCTTACAATTTTACGATCGTCTTTACAACCTTTATCGGGGAAATGCCAGTTTTTTAAATATTTCCAAAGTGTAACGAACAAGAGGCGTCTGGGCGATTTGGATCGCTAATTTTTCATTTAATTTTGGTTACTTGAAAACAAAGTAATAGTTAAGTAGTTTATTATTGTAGTGTGACCTTTTTTCATCAATATGTAACAATTCATTCAACTTATGTGAATACAATTTTCGTTAACTGTAAATGTTTTATACAGGGCCATAGAAGGAGGTTTGGAAAGTCAAACTAATGGTTTTTTTTCATGCGATAAATGATGATAATACATATTAATTGTTATTTTGTTACATATTACAAACACTATAAATGTACTTTATCAATCTCATTATCGCGGCTTATGAAAAACAGCCTGGTGAAAACGGACAGACAGAAGGTCGGATGAACAGTGGAGTCTTAGTAAGATATCCCCATTTAACGATTGGCTAAGGAAGCCTAACATGGATATTATTGACATAATGAAATGATTGTTGCATTAATAATGCCGATTATTTTATTAACTTTATGCTGTATTGGTTATTTTATATTTTCATAGACTAGCAGAAGTCCATTAAATTTTTGATTAGTATGTATATGCCAAATTGACTATACAAATTTTCAAATTTAGAACATTTATTAGAGCTAAATGTCATTTAACCTTAGTGCAACTGACCGTAAGTTTTAATAAAATATTTATTTTACCTCACTAATAAAACAAATAAATATGGAACTTGAAGTAGATCCTCGAATACGAGCGTGATTAATTCTTTGATAAAGTATTAGTAAAATGTGGATTGAGAACTAAAACAGAAAAACATACTACGCGCGTGAGAAAATTAATATCGTATTAATACAAAAATAGTAAAATAAAACATTAGGTACGCGATAAATTATCAAGCATTATCTCAACCCTCGAGATAAGTTTTGAGTGATAAAGCCGAAGAAACTAACATACTATCTCTAGCTGGTACAAGCTAATCATAGCTCGCAACTCATACGTGTCGTCGTGTTTACTTTTCACCTAAGTGACGTTAGCCATTTGTTCCGTAAATTCTCGAATCATATCACATTTATAACAATAAGAATTATAGTGTCGATATTTCTACGATATCGTTCGTTTGTAATGTGCACAGGTGTACAGTATTATATTTTGTATCTTGGTCGCGGGTCGAATAAAATTCGACCATTAATCTTACTAACATTAAGTGTTTGATTTGTAAAAGTGTCACGTTGGACGTCTGAAACTGATAACGTTTTATACTAAATAAGTGTGTCGTTTAAGTGAATTATAATTATATATATAGTGAAATTTGTGCGTCAACTTAACATAGCGTCACCAACATGGATAAAATTCGACAGAAATCTAAAAAGGAAAGCAAGGACAAAAGTAACATGTTCACTGCTGATATAAAATCCATGAAGGAACATATCAAAATAAAGGAAATATTGCGGAATGTGAAAATGAATAGCAGTATGCGATTAAAAGCACCGAAAGGCAGTAAAATAATGCAAAATAAAGATTTCAATGATGACTTTGACGAAAACTGTAACAGTGATGAACCACCTGCTAGTGCTACTAACGTTGAAATTGTGAATTTAGTTCCTGAAAATTTCAATGAAAAATGCTGTGACGATATCGAAAAACCTCCAAATGGTGATATCGTCGATGATTCAAATAACTCTGAAGAATCGAAGGAAATTAACGAAACTAAAAGTGACAATGTCCCTAAAATTATAGTTAATGAACTGATTGGAAATGAAAATATCATACAGGCAGACGAAGAAATAGTTATTAGTGAAAACGGAAATAAGAAAATATCAAATGACGAATTAAAACGGACTATATCAGTGGAACCAACGTTAGTTAAGGAAAAGTTAAATCACATACAAACACGAGAGAGGAAACTATCTTTAGATCAAACAATGTTAAACAGACGAGACAGTTTCTCACAATCTGAACTGGATCTACATTCTATAGGGAAATCTCCGTTAGAAAGAAAATCATCGTTTTTTAGAAAAAAATTGGAAAATTTCATTAAGAATACTTCAGAAGTATTTAAGAGGCAAAGTAAATCAGAGCTACGTAGAAGAAGTTCGTTATCTATGTCATTACAATCTTTAAATGAAGATTCCACTAATGTCATTAACAGTTCTGCTGCTAGTGAAAGGGTAAGCAGCCACTATAATTATTTTCATACTTTCGTAAAGATTGGTCTTCCATTGGTAAAAGGTTGTCCACGATTAACTTATATTGTTACGAGATAATAACATCAAAACATAATCAAAATTCGATTATTAGAATATTTATTTAAAATTATACCTTTTGATGGTTCAAATATACTTTATCCATTTGAATTTAACCTTGGTCATAAAAAATAAATTACATTTACCGTCTTATTATAAAACGAAGACTAAAGTTATTAATTGGTTTAAACTTTGTTTAAAACTGTTTAAACCATTGGACGCCTAAAACAAATTGACAATGTCTGAAGAGAAAATGTCAAATTAAGACATGTTGACTTATTTTAGTCTAAAATATTTTAAAAATTTCTACTCCGAACGCGGTGAAAATAATATTATAAACGTGGGACAAGCCACGGGTGGTTAGCCAGTACTAAATAAATTAAATAAATATATTTCATTGACTTAGGTACCTACTATAAAATTACGACGATCTCCGTAGCAGAGTGGTTCGTTCACCGGTTTTAAGGTGCCTATCCATCTCTAAATATCCTGGTTTCCAGTGAAGTTTTCAATGAAGTAAAATAATCTCTTCTGTTTATTTTGCCTCGGGATGGTGTTGTAACACTTTCATTATTTCACATTTCCTTAATATAAAGTGCTTTAGCTACCTAATTTGAGCAAGGTCTGTGATGGATGTTGTCTAATATTTGTTTATTATAAGGTATTTGTTTCAATTACTAATAAATATGGAGATTTTAGACATAAACTTTAAAGATTAAATAGTTCATAATACTTTATCAATTAATAAAACATCAAAGGCCCGCCACGTGTTGTGAATATTAAATTATAACCTTGTAATATAATATCAGACCAAAATATCTAATTACAAATGATAAACAAACAATTAGATTACCGTATGGCACTCAGTTAACGTATAAACATAACATTATGTGTGTTCTTTTGAGCATGACTTAATTACTATACCTAATCATTACATTATGGCTAAACCAGGAACCTGTCCTATAATATAATTTGGGTATATTTAAGTTAGATAAATGTTTTACAACATAATTGTTAAAATGATTTTACAGGCGGCATGTTTTACATAATATTTTGCAAACATTTTCTCCAAGCAGTGTAGAATGTTAAACACATCATATTGAATTATTGCAATCTTTTCTTCTAACAAGTAGTTAAACTCTATGGTATTATAAAAAGCATTGATCCGTTTAACATAAAAATGACATAAAACGGAAACGTATACAATTTTTTTTATGATTTTAAAGAAAATCTAATTCCGCCACGTTTATTTATCATAACGAGATTTATTACAAAACAAGAACACGAATTCTCATGCGGTATTCACTAATGGATGGATTAATTCATGAGGATGGTAAATTAATGGAGGTGTTGTGTGAATTTGCTAAAATCAGCCACGGGTCTTGAATTTTTTCAAACAGACACAAATAGTACGCTGTAGCACTATCAATGTTTATTTCCGTAACTCGCTTTTCATCTTTTCATTCATCATCTTGATTATATTAGTTATTGACTCACAAAACTATTATCTTATTGATGTCACTTTGATAACAGTGTATTTAGAAATTAACAGAATAATGTTATAGAAAATAACGAAACGGTTAGTTTTCAAGATTACTTGAACCATGATAAAATTTAAGAATTGTGAGTAAAGCGGACCTAACTCATAAAGCATTATCTATCAGTAAATAAGTAAGTGTGTCTAATAGAAAGCATCACGCTAAAGTGCGAGTGAGACTCTCGGACGTTGGGTTCCGTACCGAAAACGAGCATAAAATCACGTTTGCTGTATTGGAGCCCCTTTAAATATTTGTTTTATTCTGGTTTATATTATTTATTGTTAAAGCCGCAAGATAAATACATCATCTGTGTAAATTTCAAATGTCTTACTTACACGATTCATAAGATACAGCCTGGCGGCTGTCAAACAAGGAAGTCTTATTAATAGTGTTCTCGTTTTACCCTTTTTCTTAAACGGGAACCTTAAAAACTTAACTAAAAAACTATAAACATACATAGATGCATAAGTTTGCTATATATTATGAAAAACACCTAAAGTAAAATAGAGGTATTTAAAAAAGTTTCGCATACCAAAATACAACGTCAGTAAATCGAAAAATAATATACATACCACCGGAAAATTCCATCAATCAACCATAGGTACGTTTAGCCCAGAAATATACGTTTCAATAAATCTCAATTACATTGAATCCGACACCATTGGAAGATTGTACCCGCTTGTGCAGACGTGGTCAGAGCTCAGAACAAAATGCCAATAAACGTAATATTAGGGGTTAAAGTATGAAATTGCCGTTTTATTGTAATAGGTTCCTTGAGTTGACATTGGTTTAACGTTACCTTACCCACAATATTGACTCATTTGCATCAAATCATTAAAATAAAAAAATGGGTGCCTCATGATTTAACTGATCTGCAGAAAGAAATGCGTGTTGAAACGTGCCTTGTTGAATCGGTACAAAAATGAAGGTATATTGGATAGAATTGTGACATATTTTGAAAAGTGGATTCTTTATGATAACCGTAAAAGAAAAATGCAATGGCTGACCCCAGATCAGACGCCAGTGTCCTTAAGCAAAACTTACCAATAAAAAGGTAATAGTAACTGTTTGGTGGTCTCAGCATGGCTATAGTTTTCTCCGATCTGGTAAAGCAATAACGGCAGATGTCTATTGTGCCGAGCCCTGAACAATGTTGGCAAAACTACCAGTAAAACAGCCCCGACTCATGAATCGATTTCCACCATTATTGCTCCATGACCTCATACACCACGAGAAACTGTTTTGACCGTCCAGGAACTGCATTTAAAAACCATTGGTCATCCTCCGTATTCGCCAGACCTTCCTCCAACGGACTACCATTTTTTTCGTGATTTGGACTATAATCTTCGTGACAAAACAAGTTTTCTTCAGTATGCTTTCACACAGATTGTGCAGTCTAAATTTCCAGAGTTCGATCGCAAAGGCATTAATGACCTTCCTATTAGATGGCAGCAATGTATAGATTATAATGGTAATAATGGTTATTAAAAAAAATTGTTAAAAATTTAAAAATAATAAACAAATAAACAATTTTGATTTTCGGTACAAATCAGCAATTTCATCCTTTAACCACTATTACATATTTACGAAACCTGTGTTGAACCTGTAATGTATTGTATATTTCATTATAATACCAGCTGTTTTTCTGCGGCTTTGACCGCGTAAATTATAGTCTAAAGCACCCGCCTATTATATCAGTTCCCGTAGGTGAAAGAATTTTCATGATCGGAACGGTATTGCCGAAGATTACAGCCTACTACCTATTTCACCTCTTTATAATATTAGAATAGATTAAAAAATAAAGCATACTATTATTTTCTATATATTTTCTATTTATAGATATTGATTTGGAATAGGAATATCACGGTATTATGTAAATATTGTTACTAATTAAAAAACTACAGTGCTATTCTATTATAACAGCATTGTAGTCGCAAATTGAACAATGTCGACGACGAAATGCAGCACTGTCATGGTTCATTTTCAATTTTTCATAAAGCTTATTCAAACGGTAATAATGTATGACGTCTGATTCGAGGCAGTTCCCAAACGAACAGCCCGTTCTTCTTGTCAGCCACAAAACCATGCCATGGTGCGACCACCTAACTTTCTATCCATAATTATATGCATAAGATGCGAATTTAGCGATGTTATGGCGATATTTTATACTTTATCAACAACGAACAAATGCTAATGAATGATGATTACGGATTTGTTAGCAGTGCTACTGACATAGTGGTTTCTCAAGCAAAAGACATGTCAAAGGAAATGATATAGCAACACCGAAATTTATTTCGATAAACTATTTGAAGAATTAATAATTCGAAACTCCAAATTTTTTATTTCTCTTTCTCTGAAAAGACTTTTTAAAAATAGCTTATTCCGTCTTACCAGCCATTTTCAACGAACGACATTATTTTTGTTTGATCACATTTATTCAATTATACCAGAAATCACAGACGTTATCTTGTCTTATTCAAGTTTCAATTATTTCATTAAAATGGTTTTAGTTTATACGTAAACAAATTAAAATTAAAAATATATATAATATGTCATCAAATCCATCTGAATTTTTCGATCGTTCTATCTATAATGCGTTATAAAGAGAAAACTATAATCAAAATAATTTGGCGTAGGACCACCAAAATGACGAATTATTAGTATGACTTCGAATTTAATACTCGACAATACAACAAAAGCAAAACTCCTACATGTTTATTACTATATTTTATATTAGTTAATACTCGTAGTAGGAGTAGCGCTTATGCTCGGCACAGTCTTTTGTCATGAATTATTCCTCCAATTTCCTAGTTACTTCGTTGTTTATTAGTTTGTCTGACAAACTTAAAAAAGGATAAAGTAAATTCATAATAAATCTTAACACATTGTAATAAAGCCTTTTCTGTTTCAGTTACAAAAAAGCAACTGTAGTCTTCAGTCGACATCAACTGTGGGATGCAGCAACTCCAGCCTCCAAAGCAATGGAGAACCACCACTACAGATTCAAGACGATCAGGAGGACTTGGCGAGCAGCCAGCCTGTGCTAAGCACAAGCCAACCGCTGACAAACGATGAGTTAGAGTGCAACCAGCCTCCGCTCTGTGCAAGCCAACCGCTGACGAATATATCCTCAGAAAGTATAGACATTACTTCTAATTCTCTTTCATGATATGCAACTAAAATATTTTCACTTAGTTGCATAAACCTTCAAGGTTCAATGATGACTGTAAGCTCCAATTAATGTTCTAAATTTTTCTATCGGTAATATCCACAGAATAAATAAAAGGTCGCTTTAAAGAAATTATTATAAAATTAATGGACGTTTGTGCAACTAGGAGAGTATATCGTTGAGATTCTGTGGTTGAGATAATAAACAATTTAATATTAAATATTAAAATAATCAATGACTTAATTGAGACATAAGAAATCAATGGCTAAATAATTGAGACATATATAGACAAAGAGAGCATTAAAAGCAATTTTCTACCGATTTCAAAATCCTAAAGGAGGAGGTTATATGTTCGATGGCAATGTATGTTTACCGATGATTCCACCAATTGTTGACTTATTTTCAAAATTCTTTTTTTATTCGACAGCTTTATGGACCGAAGTGGTCCCATTTTAAATATCGAATCAGTAGTTTTCCTTTTATAACAAAACAAATTACGCTTTTCACCATATATCACCTAAATATTTAGATGGTATCTATAAGTATTTCATGTATCTCAGCTAAAAAAAAACAAAAGAAATTATGAATGAATTCAAAATCCGAAAGGAGGATATTTTATGTTCAAGGTATATGTAAATTTTCCAATCGAATTCTTCTTGAATCGTGAACCAATTCTTATCAAACTAGCTGTTTCGCTGCAACTTTGCCTGCGTCAATTATAGCCTATGTCCAAAGCGTATTATGTAGCTTCCCGTATATGAAAGACTTTAATAAATCGGTCCCATAGTTTCGGAGCCTATCCAATGCAAACAAATAAGCAATCAAATCTTTACTCTTTATAATATGAGAAAAGAGTTATTGAAAAAAAAAATATATACAGTAGAGCAAATAAACAAAATCTTCTTTTCTATGACTTTCACTATGTTGAATATTTTTATTTATATAGACCCTTATCTATACTAATATTGTAAATAAGGAAAAATTTGATTGTTTGTTTGATTATTTACTATTAAATTTGTCATTATAATTATATCCGTGTCATCGTGTCATGAATATGAATCGATATCCAAATAAACAGTTCCTAGGGACCACGTGGGCGAAGCCGCTGGCGAAAAGCTAGTATATAATATTTTTATATTAATATCTATCTATATTATATATTATTTAATATTAATATCACTAAAAAACATGAAATAAAACCTTTAAAAAAATAGAACCGACTTAATACTTTTAAAAAGCGACTTATTCAAGAAAATACTATTGTAGTCGAGCGCCTATAATTTTTTTAAGTTCTTAATTAATGAATTAGTCGTAAATAATATAATTCACTCAGTTTACCCTTATTTATACAGCTACCTATTATTTTCTTTTTCTTATACAATCTACAGTACGTCAGATTAATATAAAAGGTCAAATTCCAAATAAATTCAAGCCTTCATATGTGAGTCTTTAGTTTAAAATTTACTGCAGGAGTATTTTGTAGTTGACTTGCTGTGTGGTGTTTATTGCGCGTAAAAAATAAAGTAACGAAATTACATAATAACATTTTCTTCTAGTATTGTGCCTAATTTTTCTTTTACATATATCAACTTTATTGTTTTTTATTACCAATTAATCAAAGTACTATTTCATAATTTTGGCCTGTTTATTTTTGATAAGTTTCATATTAAGATATCATTACTAACTCTTAGGGAGGAACTATTTATTACCTAATTAGGACTTCTTCAAAAAACGTTATTAAGTCGATCATACTGATATGAAAATAAAAGAAGTATCTGTGTAATAGAATGTGCCAATTGCTTGTTATCCTGAACAACTAACTTACAGGATTTTCTTTACCCTTCATCCTAACACCTAACACTTTTCTGTAAGTATTTGAAAACTTAAAAAAATAATCAACTTAATTTGATATGAATCCTAACCAAATATTATTTTGTCAACGTAATTTTGAGACAATATAATCCTGTATTATAAAAAAAAAATTATATAAAAGCCAGCTAAGCTCAAATTGACAATAGCATATTTATATGTTTATGATATTTACAAAGTTACAACATTCATAACTTTAATATTATCTTAATTAACTAATTTAAATTATCAAAATATCTATTTCCACTACATATAGTTCTTTTTAACTGTAACTTCACGAGGGTAGAATATTATGTTGGTATACAATACACCATTGTTATTACATAAATATTACGCGAGCAAGCGCCGCTCACCCAGTTCGATTGTTAGTGTATCTAACTTTGGCTAGGGGAGAGGACAAAGTATCTTTTCACCTTAATTAAATGTTCGCATTACACTACGTTAGTAGTTATAGTTAGTAGGGTTGTAGGTAATACCCAAAGGGTGAAATGGGAACCCTATTACTAACACTTCGCTGTCTGTCTGTCACCAGGCTTACACATGAACCTTGAAAGTTAGGCAATTGAAATATTCACAAAGGATGTATTTATGTAGCCGCTTCGACAGCAAATGCAAAAAATCTAATAAAACAAAACACTTAACATAATGGGAGCCCCAAACGATAATCGTGTTTTTTTTTTGCACTCACCAGGCTGTATCTCGTGAGCCGTAATACACAGCTGAAATTTCCGCAAATGATGTATTTCTGTTGCCGCTTTGAAAAAAAGTATTAAAAAATAGAATAGAATAAATATTTAAGGCTGCTCCCGTATAAAAACGTGATTTTTTTAAATGTACGGATGCATTCGTCAATATTACGTCGAAACGATTCATTTAGGGAGAGAATGAGACTGTTTATCATACGAGATTTTGTAATCCTGTCGCTTGAGTATTCCTGGTCTATAAACTATTTTTGATGTGTAAACGGTACGTTGACAATCGAATCACATTTGTAAACTAATAACTAAATAAATCAATGTAAAAATATTTTCTTTAGTAGTATCTACTTAAAGATATTATTAATTTCATTTCAATAAATTATCGTACCTTTTTAACGGCATTTACGTCAAAAAAATACGCAGTATTATCAAGTTTGATGACTCTTGGATTCTATAACTTTATGACTGTAGATTTTTCAATTTTAATTAACAACCACTATTTTGTTTCTTTTCATAAGGAAAGAAAAATGTTGTGTAGGAGATATAATTCATTATATTAAAATTATATCATAAGGCTTCTTTAAATTTTGATAACTCATTTAAACAAAATGTTTACAAGTATATTTATAAGAAAACGTTGGAATGGAGTGCTTTGGGAAAGTTTCCTGCTGTATAAGCTGATTTAAAAGACTTACTGCAAAGAAACTGAATTATTAACTTGTACAATAATTTAAGTTGTTTTGTACTTTGCCTTTACAATAGTACGAGTACTAATAATGTTTGGCTTTGTTTTTCAGGTCTTACCGAGGCTTATATCCAGGATTCTATGCTGAACTCCCGGGCCATATCTATGAGTTCAGGACTAGATACAGCGACTGGAACGAGGAGACGAAAAGCTTTAAGATCGAACAGGTAAGGACACAGAAGTATTATTTTATACATCGACGCTAGAAAGTAAACACGTAACCCGCAAACCGAAAATTATTCTACAGACCAGAATAACTATTTAATTATAAAAAAATATATTTCCGTATTATTTGAATGGCCCTATTCCTGCTGGTAATGATGATGATGGCTGAAAGGGCTGATAATGATGATGATGATGATGAATTAGTATTATCTTCGTCGCTTAAATTGTCGGTGACATTACATAATGCTATACTATTTGTGTGACACTATTTATATGATCACAAGTTATCAATAGAGTTTGCGTAGTAGGTACGTACCATAGGAATGAACGCTCTAGTAAGTTGGTCATACCCACCCAGACGAAACAATCTGTACATTCAGATAGTTCACGTGAACTATGAAGTTAGCTCGCTTCCTGTTTCACCTTCTGGTGTAGTTTATGAGGTCGCTACGTACTCTACGTTTAGTAATAAAATACATATGTAGGTTATTAATTCAAACAACAAGAGTTTAGCTATAAATTTAATATTGATTAAGTTGACTATTATACAAGAATTTTACAGTAAGAGTTTATAGCAAACCCAACGTTTTATGATTCTAATATAATATTTACAGCTGATCCATTATAATAACTTTGAATATAATATTTGGGTTTGTCGTGTAATTATATTTTATAATAATATGTAATCTTTAAATATATGTAAAATAAGTATGTCTTACAATTCCCATAAATATATCATGAATTGAATTTAGAATGAATTATTCTATTGTCTATTATAGAGAATGGATATAGGGTTATTCGATGATGTATAAAAAAGTATAGTTGGAAATTGATATCAAGAAAGCAAGGCAATCGCATGAGTTTCACTTTAGTCACGTTGCAGCAAGCGTTGTGGCTAATGGCATTTTCTGTGAAAGTTTTAGACAAAATGCCTTCCTGCGTGTTTATACAATGCACAAATTACACATTAACAATGAAAAAAGCATAAAAGATACCATGTGAGCGTAAGTACTGTACTTACTCTTTTTTATTAAAATAATAAATAAATCGTCAATGAACGCGGTCATTTTTTCGTGTATCGTATTCTACAACTAGGGAAGATTGAGGTTGGCACGTAAAGCTACATAATCAAGTATGTTTATCACCTTCTAACAAGAGGTATGCTGTACGATTCTTATAGGGAGACAAATGTTTTGATTTCTTCGCACCCTTTGTGGTTGTATTATTAAACGTCAAGAGGGTTATTTTTTATTTTTTAAATACTTCATTTACAAGTCGTTTAAATTAATGTTTTATTTACATCACATGTCCTTATGGTTCTATACCTATAAAACACTTGTGTGAGTGATTCTCACTTCGTTTTCCGTCTATTTCTACAGAAATAAAAGACAAAACACTGAAATTCTATTTACGTATTGAAGAAAAATAATTATGATTTGCTTTGTGAGTGGACACTAATAGCGCCCTTAGTAGATACAACTAGTATTAAATATGTGAGTGACTCAGATTTTCTACAACAAGGTTTGATTCTCAGTTTGATGCTAACAATGGAGTTAAAACGTAGGTGTTGAAATATAGGACAAGGAATATAAAACATACATGTTAAGTATTTCATTAATTGGAATCATGAAAATTGGTATGATTCAATAATTTAGACTAAGTAAACAATCTGAAAACAATTTTTATATATCACTTTTCTATACAAAAATAGCTTTTTGTGGTAGTGTCTTTGAAGTTGAACATCAAAGTAATTTTATTCTAATATCGCGGATATTTTGCAATTAATAATTATTTCTTATCGTGATCCTTGACAGTTGACCAGTTCCCTGGGCTTTGTACAGCCGCATTGTAGAAGGACGTCATGATGGTAACTCAGCTGATCGACATTTAGCCGTGTTAATTCACGCAAAATTCTTTAAACAAAATAATGATGCAGTTGGGTTAAGAATAAACGCCATCTAGTTTAACAAGGCTTTCAGTTTTTTCTAACTACATTTTATTTTAAAACTCAATTTGTACCAAAATAGTGCGATGTAGACATACTTAACGCCATCTAGTATAGCTCAGAATACATAATTTGTGTTTCGTGTATAAAGTTGTTTCTACTTGCATATTTTCAAAAACTTTAATTTGAAATGTTATGTGTAAAATATGTACTTAAATACCCATCTCCATGAATATATAAGAAAACCTTTAAAAATAATATTAGCTAGATTTATTACAATGACAAATCAAATAGTAAAACTTCCACTGCCATTTTCATTCCTTTAAGTGCTGGTTTACGGGATATAGTTTATTACGTTCTTGGGGTCTTTAACTACTCAAATACCAATTTTCGTCGATATAGGTCCAAAAAAAGAAGTTTTATACAAACGTTTTCACCCTTTTTACTCACTTCGGGGTGGATTACCCAAAAATCCGTTCTTAATACACCCTTACGTAATAAACCGAATGTAACCTCCAAATTTCAAGTCTCGCACAGACAGCCTAAACCAGTAGTTTAACCCACACACCACAGCCTAAACTACAGCCTAAACCAGTAGTTTAGGCTGTGCGTTTTCTGTCAGTCAGTATGTCAGTATAGATAACATACATAATAAAATAATATGACATGCTTAATCTTTATAGTATTTTGAATATTATTCATAAATATAAAGTTTCTGAAAATGTACTGTATCTCAATACCTGCTAATTATAGTTTTTCAAACCAGTTTTAGTTGAAAGTGTACATGATTTGGGTGGTTATGAATCACCTGGTTTGCAGTAGATGGAAGATGTGTACTATATCTCCCCTCTATACCGCCTACTACCATCGCCGATGACATAGATCATGTGGAGGTGACATCTAATGGCAAAGTTACCTTAGTTATTCCCATAATCCCATTTGTCTTCTCGTTAGTATAATATTCGATGCTTTTATAGTGTATGACCGCATATAATGTTATCTAATCATTTAGTTCTCATATTATATTAACGCGTTTTGGTATCTGACCTCAGGGGGGAATACTGTAAAAAACAGGAATAATTTTCAAGCCTTGCTTCGTTTAATGCCATGTACACGCGAATTAGTATGATAGTTGTTTGCACGAAAAATATATTGACAGTGCGCTTTTATAATAAAGGTATGTACTGCATGGATAAGTATACTTTATAAATTATATCTATAGTCATGACCCCAATCGCAATAGGGATGATAACTAAGTTTTGTTTGTCTGTCCATCAGGTAGATTATTGAAGAATATTAATGACGAATTATTTTATGGATTACGGCGAAATATTGATTTGAAAAATAATTAAAAAGATAGTTCTATTCAATAAAATTTAGTGATATTTTGAATTTTGGAGTAACAAACATCACGCATACTGGTTTTCTCATAGGTGCAATTGCCAGATCTGAACTAAATTAAAATGGGACCACACGGCAAGCACTAGCTTTCAAATGAAGAAAGAATCATCAAAATCGGACTTAATATTGAAAAGTTATGAGGTAACAAACCGAAAAAAAGCAGTCGTATGGAGAAACTCCTCCCTTTTTTAAATCGGTTTAATATAAGGTATGTGGTGGCAATCCCGTAAATAACTTTATATTCGCTTCAAGTGTTTCGTTGTTCATTAATAGAAACAATATATATTAGAGGTTAAAATATGAAATTGCCGTTTCATTGTAATAGGTTCCTTGAATAGGGATGATGACTAATTTTTGTTTGTTTGTCCGTCAGGTAGAGTGTTAAAAAATATTAAACAAGTATTTTTTTTATTCTTTTCGTAATCATAAAATTACGGCGTCACATGGAGTTGAAATTTCGCATGACGTCACGTTAGAGTACGTTTTCTACTCAACTGTGACGTAGCGAGCCCCTACTCCTCAACTTTAATGCCTGTTATCTAAGCTATTTCTTGTTAAATTGAAGTAAAAAAAAAATACGTATCTAATATTTTTCTATTATCTGACTGATGGACTAAATAGAATTGCATTTTTTTTACCCAGTCATTATCCCTATTGACATAAAATCTTCATGGTTTGAGGTTTTCGAAAGAAACTTTTTTCAGATAGTTTCTATGATGTTCCTCTTTAAAAAAATGTGAAACAGTTGAATATTGACTTTCAATTGTTTTTGTTATTCTACTTTGACAATAAAGATGGATACCGCGAAAATTCGAGTGATTTTTTAATACGACTTCCGACGCGGAAGTAACGCGGCAGAAACAAACCGCAATATCAACGTTAAGTTTGGAGAGAGGTCTGCTAATGAACGCACTGTGCGATTTTGGTTTGAATGCACCGTGCGATTTCGGTTTCAACGCTTTCGTGATGGAAACTTCGACTTGAAGAACGAGCCACGAGGAAGAGCGCCCTAACAGGTGAATAGCGATGAATTAAGAGAGATGGTGGAAGCCAATCCTAATCAAACTACCCATGAATTAGCGGCATGGTTTAACCTTACCCACAATATTGACTCATTTGCGTCAAATAAATAACATAAAAAAAACACGAATGGGATGCCTCATGATCTAACTGATTTGCAGAAAGAAACGCGTGTTGAAACTTGTGTTGCCTTGTTGAATAAATAAATATTGAATCGAATTGTGACATGTAATGAAAAGTGGATTCTTTATGATAACCGTAAAAGAAAAAATGCAATGACTGACCCCAGGTCAAAGGCCACAGCAGTGTCCTAAAGAAAAACTTACCAATAAAAAGGTAATGGTAACTGTTTGGTGGTCTCAGCATGGTGTTATTCACTATACTTTTCTCCGATCTGGTCAAGCAAAAGCGGCAGATGTGTATTGTGCCGAACTCCGAACAATGTTGGCAAAACTGAATCGATCTAAATGAATGAATGAAATGATTATATATTAATTGATTTCTTATATTTTCTGGTGCACTATCCATAAATGAAACAACTTTTATATAACATCGAGTTTGTATTTAGTTTTATAACGTTTCGGACCTGTAAGTATTACATAAGATTTGACAACTAAAAATAGTTGCTGCTGATCA